CTTGAGAATTCAAAGGCATCATACTCTCCTGTGAAGAAATGAGTAGTGTTCAGTGGTATTTGATGTCATTGTAGTTCCAAGGGCTTTCAGTTGTATTTTTCTTTTCTTTCTGTGCATGTGTGTGTGTGTGTGTGTGTGTGTGTTCATGTATCACACACATATGGACACAAGCGTGGGCATGTGCATCTGAAGGCCAGAGGTTCATGTCAGGTGTCATGTGACATGACATGGGGAAGAGTGAGTTCCCCAGTCACACTTCACCTTACTTGGCGGGGGGTGGTCAGGGTCCCTCACTGAACCTAAAGCTTACTGATGAACTAAACTGATGGGCTAGAATGCCCCAAGAATCCTCTTGTCTCTGCCTCCCCAGCCCTGGGGTTACAGGCACATCCATCACTACACACAGTTTTTACTGGGTCTGGGAATCAAACTCAGTCTTCTGGTTTGCCCACAAGTACTTTACCAACTAAACCATCTCTCTGGACCTTAATTGTATGTTTTAACCATAAAAATACATACACATGTTTATTTATGTTGTACTTTATTGTTAAATGGAATCTTTTAAATGTGTTATATTTCATATCTTCAAAACCATAATGTAATAAATTATACTGTTCCATAAAGAAAACAAAACTCAAAAATCTCACTTTACAAATTCCAGTGAATACAGCTGTGACCAGAAAGGAGCTCTGAAAAATCTGGATTGTATATGAGTGTCCCATTCCCAAATATGACATACTTTAGTCTCTGTTATTTATAAAATGGAGGATGTTTTGTTTCATGAAATAATGAGGGAAATGAATAGAAAGTTGATACTTCATGTGATGGTCAAAGAAGCAGCTTGTAACAGTTTTAGAGGATTTCTTTCTCATGCCTTGTTGGTGATTAATCCAAGTTCTGAACCTCTGTGTCACCGACCACAAGGATCTCAAGGAAAATGTGTGTCTCCCCTGGGTTTTCTCATGAAGTCTGTGCTGTGGAATGTGGAGAGGAAGATGCTTTCATTTCCGCCTGAGAGGCAGGAAATTCACGCACAAAGAGTAAGCGTGGCTGTGGGCCACCTTTCCTGCCGCTTGGAGAATATGGGGAAGGAAAGAAAGAAAATTTCCTGCCAGATGAAAAATGATGCCCTGAGGATAAAACATCTGTTCGCTTGTCTAGTGGGTGTATTTAAGGAAAGCAGCTGTTATCTGCTCCTGCGTTAGAAGATGGGCTTGTCCCAGCCTCCACACTTGGCAACTGGAGTTGCTGCTCCAACTCTGATGCTGGAGAACACTGAACAACCGGCCTTTTTCTAAACGTTTTAGTTCTGTCTTCCTTATTTCAGCCTACACGTCAGCCTGTGACTTTACAGAATTCATATTTCCTTGTGAATTTTGGTCTCAGAGAGTCTTACTGTATGAGCTGCCACTAAAAGTTGAAACAAGTCCGATGTATGTAAGCAAAACTCAAAGGTCATGATGAGCTAAAGGTGTGGGGAGCTATATGACTCTTACTAGCTCTGGAAGATGTTTGTATTTTGATCTTTTTAACTCAGGAAAGTAAAAGGGAAGACAGAAACTCAGGAAATCTAAGGGGTTTGGGATCCAGTTCCTTAATTTTTCTTCTCTCTGCCCCTAATAAACAAAAGCCTCTTTTTATTTGGATTAACCTCAGATCAGGTTAACATGCTTGATAACATTTATTTGGGTGCAGACAGGGTAAATAGTCCACAGATGGAAGAGTGGGAAGTCCTCTTAGTTCAAGTACCCAGGCTCCACCAAGCATGCAGAATACCTGAGACGCTGCTCATCCCAGGCTGTCAGGGCCCCTTGGCCTTGCCAGCTCCTGCTTTATTGGGATCAGCAGTCAGTAGATGTGATACTTTAGGAAAAGTTGGGAATGGTGGTTTTTTGTTAATTGTTCTAATATATAAAGTGTGATAAGTTAGGTAATTTTGAAAATAAGGTAGAAATGTACTTGTCAAGGCTGCTCAACACAGGCTAATGGGCCTTATCTTCCAGGGATGGTTTGGGACTTTAAGAGCATGTCTGTAATTCCAACACTCACAAGCTAAGGCAGGAAGATCATGAGTTCCAGTCCAGCCTCCACTATACTGTGTGTGTGTCTGTGTGTGTGTATGCTGGAGAGATGACTCAGTGATAAGAGTACTGGCTGCTGTTGCTGAGAAGCCAGGTTCAGTTCCCAGCACCCACATGGCAGTTGACAACCATTCATAAGTCTAGTTTCAGGGGAACCAGTGCCCTCTTCTGGCCTCCACAGGCATTGCATGCACATGATGCGCTTACATGCAGGCAGGCAAAACACTCAAACTAAAAATAAGTTACTAGCTCACCTTAAGCAAAGTGAACAATATTTGAATTCTCTTCCATTTACTCTGCTAATACAAAAGCATAAGAAGCATGAAACTATAGTGAACTTGATGTCATTTAACAGGTATTCTCAAAGAGGGCTTAGCTCCAGCAGACAATACTACTTCAGATGGTAAGTTTGTCCTAAAGGAATTTGTCCATTCGAGAGCAGGAGAGACATGAAACAGAACAAGGCAGGTTTGAAGAAACTGCAGGGATTTGCTACAATTAAATGACGACTATAAAATCAAAACCAAAGACTTCTGTTTAAAAAAGCTCCCCACCCTACTCCCACCCCCAATCATAACAAAAGCAAAAACAAAATCAGTTTTCCAAAGCCACTCCTAATGGACTAACTACCTTGAAATCTCTGAGAAAGGGCTTTCATTTGCACCCCAGGTGATTGTCATGATCAGGTTTAGGTGAGGCTCCGTTCTAGTCTGCAGGGATGAGGTCAAATCTGAGTTGGGTGCCCTGCTGCACAGGAAACCTTGCTGCTTTACTATTTTTTGGTTGTTAATTGAAGTTACGTACATTTCATACAACAGTTCTTAACCAAATTTAGACCCCCCTCCCCCATTCATGCCAGCACACACACCTCCCCCTGCCGAACCTAATGCATTCCACCACATGCTAAGTCTTATCCAGCTAAGCATTTGTACCCAGATGTCCTTTGGCATAAATTCATCCTCTGGAGTCTAGTCAGTCCATCTAGAGATCGTAAGTAAGGTCCACTCTCCCTCACCCAGCAGTGATCAGTCTCCAACAGTTCCTAGACTAGGGCTGGTCTTTGCTCCACTCTGGGCTGTTGTCTGATTGAGTTGGCGTGGGTCTGGTGCTCAGTGTCACCATTGTCATAAGTTCACATGTGTAAGCTTCGAGAGGACTGAAAGCCTCTGCTTCCCTATGTTCATGAACCAACCCTGACTCTTACAGTCTTTCCAGCCCCTCTCCCTCAATGGTCCCTGGTAGCTGAGGATTAATATAAGAGCCCTACCCAGGGACACACACACTGCAGTCTCTTCTCTAAAACTTGACCAGCTGTGACCTCCTCTGTGAATTACACCCTGTTGTATAAGGAAGCTTCACTGGTAAGAGTTGAGGGATGTACTAGATTTCTTTCTACCCCCGCCCCCCTGCCCCATTCTGCTATGTTTAAAATATTTTATGTGTACAAGTATATTGCCTGCATGTATGTGAGTGCATCCATGTCGTGCAATGCTGAGAACATCAGAAGAGAGCATAGGAGTCCCCTGGAATTGGAGTTAAGGATAGTTCTTAGACAACATGTGGGTACTGGGAATTGAACCCAGGTCCTCTGCAAGAGCAGCCTGTGCTCTTAACTGCTGAGCCATCTCTCCATCCCTGTAAAAAGAGGCTTCTTTGAAGAGTGGTGTACAGTACTCTTGTACACTTGTCTGTAAATATAAGGATCCATATTTAGCATAAGGTAAATTTTGATTTGTCTACAGATATGACAGAAAAGGTTTTCTCTAGGATCCATGACCTCTCCAGCCATGTGTATTTGGCTATGTTTACAGTACCACCCATGAGTTCACTCCTTTTGAGAGGGCTTTAAGTCCAATTACATAGTGCCATGACTGCACCAATGGAGGTAATTTGCTATGCCAGTTGCTGCATTCCTTAACTAGCCTCCTTGTACATAGAAGAAATGGACCCAGAGCATCCATAATGTGTTTGTTTGTTTGTTTGTTTTTAATAAAATGTGAAATGCTTGGAACATTACCCTTACCTTGCTCACCACTTGAGTTCCAGCCCTGGAATAGTTCTGGGTAATTCCATAAATATCTCTCAAATGAATAAGACAGGAAGAGGTATAAAGGAGCCCAATTACTGGAGCTCATTTGTATTTCTTACTCTTTGAAGTACTGTCTCACGATGGCAAGCCTCTCTCCTCTTTCTCATATCTGCGGTCATGTTAATCCCATGTGGCTCAATTTAAAAGGGGAGGGGACGGGGTCTGGAGAGATGTTGCACATGCAGAGGACCGGGGTTTGGTTCCCAGGATCCACGTGGCCACTAACAGCCATCCGTAACTCCAATTCCAAGAGACCCAATACTCTCTTCAGGTCTCCATGAGCACTGTACAGCACAGGTGCACACACATACGTGCAGGCAAAACTTACACATACAAAGGCATAAGAGGGCTGGAGAAACGGCTCAGTGGTTAAGAGCACTAGCTGCTCTTGCAGAAGACCCAGGTTTGAATTCCAGCACCCATATGACTGCTAACAACCTCCATAACTCCAGTTCCAGGAGGTCTGACACCCTCTTCTGTCCTCCATAGGCATTGCGTGACACAGGTGTACTTATATACATGCAGGCAATACACACACATAAAAACAATTTTAAAAGATATGAAAGTACATTAAATTGGGTGGGGGCAGTGAAGGGAGGTATTGATAGAGGAGAGGATCTAAATACCATCAAACTATACTTATAAAAATTGGGAAAATGCAATCAAAGATAATTTTTTTTTATTATCTACTAAAAAGTAATAAAACATTTTTAAAACAATATTAAGGACAAAAAATAAGCACAAGATGCTATTTCCCTTTAGAAAAGTGAAAAAACTACGAATACCTGCTGCTTTAATAACTACCTTTAATTTCATTTTCTTCTCTTCAGGCTGCTGTGGTACCATCTGCCCAGACCCTTAAAATTACTGATTTCAGCTTCAGTGACTTTGAGCTTTCTGATTTGGAAACGGCACTGTGCACAATTCGAATGTTCACTGACCTCAACCTTGTGCAGAACTTCCAGATGAAGCATGAGGTAGGAGGCATCAGTGTCCTTTGGTAAAATGTGTGCGTGCGTGTTCACATGTATATGTATAAGATAGACAGATGGATCTGAATACTAGCATGGAATAGGGGTTTTTAGTTTAAGTGACTAATATATGGTTACCTAATGCATACCTGAGATTTAATTAAAAAAACTATCAAGGGGCTGGAGAGGTGGCTCAGTGGTTAAAACACTGACTTTTCTTGCAGAAGACCTGGGTTTGAATCCCAGCACCCACATGGCAGCTAACAACTGTCTGTAACTCCAGTTCCAGGGGATCTGGCATCCTCTTCTGTCCTCCATGCAGGCATTGCACGACACAGGTGCAGTTACCTACATGTAGGCAATACACACATACACATAAAATAAAAATAAAATATTTTAATAAAAAATACAACTATCAGTCATTAAACAGACATTTATTGGATTACTACCCTGTGTCAAGCACTAGCTTGAAGAATAACAGGACAGTTTTATGTAAAGTGACAGCAGGTGTGCAAAGGCAGGTGACAGGAGACACGGGATGGAACACTGGTTGAGGGGGGAAGGTGGCCAGAGAGGCAGCTGGGAGTGATGGGAGAAGCAAATCGGGAAGGTGTCTTGTAAGCCATTCAAGGAAATTGGATTTCATCCTGGAAACTTGCCGAGGAATTCTAAGCAGGGAAGTAACAGGATCTGGCTGCAGAGGTTGTGATAACAACGACCAGAATGGCCAGGACCAAGATGGATGAGCTCCTTTGGCACTTGGGGGCGCAGGTGCTTGACAGTAAAGCTAAACCCCACTCAGATGAGGTCACCATGAGGGGCAGAAATGAGAGGTGACTGAAGCCCTGGTGGTTACCTTTCTTGCCTCAGAAAATAGCAAGACTTGAATCAATACCTCCCAGTATCAGTTTGGAAATATCTAGGATTTTGTTCTGTCTCTCGATGTCTGTGTTTATAGAATAAGAACAAAAAAAGACTGAAGGAAAAACAGAAATCTTGCCTTTAAAGGATTTCATTTCTGTTCAGTTGAATGCCTAGTCTCCATACAGATGTCCTATCTAAAAATGTAATTGTCTTCCAAGCTTTATACTATTTAGCCCTCTGTTAATTCAAATAATGAAAATTTACTCACGTGTTCTGTGTGATTCTAATGATGAAATGGCCCTACTAAGGCCTCTCAGAAAAGAAAACTGAGAGTTTATACAACAGCTAAGGTCAGTAGAGGATTGTGTGTAATGTCATTGGAGATCCAAACCTAATTCTTTCTAAAGTTTAACCAAAGTTCATATTACTTTTTCTTAGATGAAGACCAAAAACTGCCTATAGGTTAATAACTTCACTCCTGCTCAAGTGTACTGGTTAAGGGATATCATGTTATTTAATTATTTTAGCAAGCTCTCATGAAAGATCCTTTGGTTATGACTATGAATCCTATTTACAGATGAAGAAATTGAGCTGATGTGGAGACTTGTTTTGGGCAGCTAGTCTCCCAAAGTTTCCCAGTTCTTAATTAGAGTTAGTGGTGTTACTGCCCATTGTAGTCTGCATGAATTACACATGCATCTGTATTTGATATGCCTCTATATGTGTGTGCTTGTAATATTTTGCTTAACCTGTGGGTATAGAGTGCATGTCAGCTATTCTGCCTTTAGGCCAAGTTTGACTCTGCTGGATCACCATCACCATTCTCCATGAGAGGACAGGACTCATTTTAAAAGTCTGCTCTATAGTCGAGTGTATGGCCTGTAGTCCCAGCACTCAGGAGGCAGAGGCAGGTGAATCTCTGTGAGTTCAAGGCCAGCCTACTCTATATAGTGAGTTCCAGGCCAGCTGGGGCTATAGGGAGACCCTGTCTCAAAAAAGACCAAAAAAAAAAATAAGTCTGCTCTATTAACACGATGCTGCAGCTAGAATCTCAACTCGCCTCCCTTTGCTGTCTTCATAGGATCTCTGTGTTCTGGAGCTCCCACATTTAAACCTAACAGTGACTGTTGAACACAGGATGGGATTCTTGTACCCTTCAGTAAAAGCTTTGATTAGTCAACTTACTTTTTAATTTAGCTTTAAGATAGCATTTGAAGATTGGCTAATGAAGATGCTCAGTTTCTTGGGTTTCTAGATTTCTTCTCAACATCCAGATCACCTACTTTCTCTGTCTTAATTCTGGGCAACATTTGCCTGACCATTGCAATGATTCTGGTTGGACTTCCTCGGATATTACTGTCAGGGCAATGTCTCCTGGCTAGAGAAAATGCTGGGATCTTGAAGCCGCCCTGGCAAAGACAGTTCACACTGGAAGACAACCTGTCTGGATTGACTGGTACTGCCGGCAGCCAGTGCCTGTTACTGGTCTGAAACAGTAATGATTCTGTTCTGGCCAATCCCCATGCACTGTACTTTTTTCTGTTTCTATCCTTTACATGAATTCCCCCTGAACTGTGTTTGTTGTACTTTATGCCACTGTTACTGGGGATCCTTTTTGAAGCTTCCTGGTCATATAGATGAAAGAATTTTTTTTTTTCAGGTGAAGAGCGAGAGCTTAATTAACTTGATGCTAGGGGGACTGACCCCATGAATAAAGGAGTCAGACCCCCTGTTCAAGTTTTGGAGGGCTTTTATACTCATGTGAGGAATGCAAGCAAAAGGTACATAGCATATACATGGTAATTAAGTACGATGACATAGGGCTGCAAAGTTAATAGAAATGCAGAGTAACAGAAATGCATAAGCCTTGGGCAACAAGACTATACAGGAATGCGATAGCTTTGGAAAACAGAGACTTTTCCCTGGATAACCACAGGGGGCAGGGGAAGATTCCTGTTCACTTCCCCATTCCAGAGTTCTTAATTACCATCACATTACAAAAGCTTTTAGCATCTGATATGCGCTTCTATTTCTATAATATCCCCTCCTCTTCATTGACATCTTCGTTATGTTATTGAACAGGAACTTTAAGATATTTTGACCATTATCCAGGAGTTTGATGGTCTCTATTTGGTTTTTGATAGATTTAGTAAGTTTTTATCTAAGATTTTAACAGGAAAGCTGATAGAACCATGACTACTGGTTCTGTAAGTGAAGCGAGCCAGGCACTTTCCAGGTATTTTAGAAAGACTCACTTTTCCTTTATCAGGACTTTATTCTCTCTCTAGCAGTTGCCTTGCATTTTTCTATGTCAGACTGATTTGCATAAAAACAGCACAAATACTTTCCTTTCCGATGGTTCTGGCATCTCTATTCTCAGGGATAAGTTCACTGGCAGATCTAAGGAAATTTCCAGCTCCCAGTTCAGAAAGAAATAGGTCATTTTCTTTTGGGGTCTTTAACTTTAAAACTGTCTAATTTTTACCTTTTATTTTTATTACTTCTGAAGAGGTAACCCAATTTGCCCATAGGGAATCAGGACACAGGTAGATAAAGAATTTAAAAATGGACTCAAGGACTGTTTTATCAGCGTTTGAGAGAAATAAAGAACAGAGTGGGTTAAGTTGTGGATCTCAGCTTCTGGCAGGAACCAAGGAAGGCTGAGGGGAGGAAACCAGGCAGGCACCAGCACAGAAAGTACATGAGCAGCTTCTGGGAGTGTGAGACCTTCAGAGAGAAGATGCCCAGGGTGTTGGGACAAGCAGGCTTAGGATTTGGGTCAGTTTGGTCTGGAAACGGGAGGTAGGAAGAAGAAAAAGAATATGTTATTCTTTCTCAGTCAACTCAGGAAATGGGCAGGCTTAGCAGTGGGAGCTGGAATCACCGCATTGTGGGAGGTAGGGGCTGTCTCCAGACTATTCTTTGGAGGTTGTAAAGACTACTTTCTCATCATAGGAGATCCTCAGCTTTGCCTGGGCACAGGTCGCTCTTGCGCCTTCATCATAACCTCAAAAGCACAATATCAACCACTGACCAAGCCACTTGTGAAGGGAATTACTGATCAGTAACCTTTCCTGTGGTAGTTCACATTCTAAGCAGGAGTATTTATCTCCTTCCCCTTCCCCAGGGACACGGGAATGGGGTCCAAAGCTATGATTGAGGGGGAGAGGCCCATCCTCAGTGACCTCCAAACAGATATAGCCAACCAGATACCTGACAGTAGTCACTTGGGGGTTGGTTCAGTTACAGGGTGTATGTGCATATTTAGTAACATAGCTGTTTAGAACTAATAAAAAGATACATTTGTACATTGAACTTCCAGTTTTCCTTATTATTTTTCTGGCTGCTTAAATAAATCACAAGTAATTCTTTACAATGTGTAGTTTCTAAACATATTTTTAAAAATGCTTTAAAAGCCACAACTCACAGGGCCTAGAGACATCAAGGCTCTCTGTGGTGGAATTCCCCTTGAACTGAACCATAGAACTGGAAGGAAAAGTCCTGGGAAAGAAAGGGATTATGCCAGGTCCCCTCTGAGTGAGCAGATTCTACCAACAGCAAAGAAGCCCCTGTTAAGCCTTCCTAGAGCCAGTCAGGAGGAGCCAGACCCTGTCAAACCACATTCTTTCACTTGTGCTTTTTCCACTGGGCCAGTGCTAGTGTTTGCAGTGTACCCAGCGATACACACGGGAAAGCACATACTTGTTTTTATAAAAATAAAGTAAATCATTCGAGTTTGCAGAGAGGCAGACCCTGTTGATAGCACAAGCAGAATCTTCCCACTTAGGGCCGTGAGTCCCTGGGGTTTTGTTTAGTACTCCACTTAAGTTGAATTAAACCCAACTGGGAAGACTTGCTTGAACACTTCTTCCCCCACTCCCTTCCCGTCTTTTAAAGTCCATTTTTCTATGTGGAACTCAAAAGCTTCATATGTGTATATTATCTTCAAAATATTGTTTCTTGTTAGCCAGCATTAACTCTGCCTAATACTTAGGCAGAACCTAAAAAGTGCAAAGGACCTACAGGTCCAGTGTGTCCCAAGGCCTGAGCTAGATGCCCTGCCCCAGCCAACCATCAGAGCCTTGCACTAAATACCTTTACAAATGTACAGCATAGAAGCCAGCAAGTACTTGTTTCCCCTGTTCATGCTTGTGTGACCCTGTGGACTCTCCTAACAGGGACTAAACTTTTATAAAGCAATCAATAGACTACCCACGCAAAAAGACCTTTCTTTGAGATGGTGTGCATTTTATATCTAATTTAGCTAGGTAAGTAGTTAACTGTGGTGGGCTCTGGATTGAATTGCTAAAATCCCAAATTCTGGCCCAAGAAGTTGGTTCCTTCATCTGTAAAAGGATCAGAATGGTCATTACCCTTTCACAATTATAAGGATCGAATATGAATACTTTGTATAGTGCCTGGACCTTAGTAAATGTATGATTAATGTCGCCAAATTATTGTTACTATTTATGGTTTATTTTCTAAAGGTTCTTTGCAGATGGATTTTAAGTGTTAAGAAGAATTATCGGAAGAACGTTGCCTATCACAATTGGAGACATGCCTTCAATACAGCACAGTGTATGTTTGCTGCTCTGAAAGCAGGCAAGATTCAGGTACTTTATAGAGCCACTCTCACATTTAAGGTATCTTACTGCTCAGTAACATTTAGAGCATATCTTTTCAAATAGTTTTTAATGTACGTTTCCAATAATTGAGAACTATTTCCTGCATATGACTCATGGTGTTAAAGATTCGTACAGCAAGTCTAGGCGTAATGGTACATGTCTTTAATCCCAGTACTTGAGAAGCAGAGGCAGGCATCTCTGTAATGTTAAGGCCAGCCGGTCTACATAATGGGTTCTAGGCCAGCTGATGCTACATAGTGAGAACCTGTCTCAAAAAACAAAAACAAGGGGCTGGAGAGATGGCTCAGCAGCTAAGAGCACCTGGATTTGATTCCCAGCACCCACATGGCGCCTAACAACTGTCCATAACTCCAGTTCAAGGGGAATTTGATGCCCTCTTCTGACTTCCACAGCCCTTGCAAGACAGGTGCAGGCAATACACTCATACATATAAAATAAAAGTAATAAATAAAACATTTTTTAAATATTATTTGTTACACTTTTTAAATTTTTTATTTATTTTTATTTTATGTATATAAGTGTATTGCTTGCATGTATGTGAGTGCACTTGTGTCGTGCAATGCTGCAGAAGTCAGAAGAGCGTTTTGGATTCCCCTGGAACTGGAGTTAAGGACGATTCGTAGCTACCATGTGAGTGCTGTAAATTGAACCCCAGTCCTCTGCAAGAGCAGTCAGTGCTCTTCACTGAGCCATCTCTCCAGCCCCAATAAAACATGTTTTAAAACAAAAATTAGCACAGCAAAACAGTTGCTTCTAACTTTCTTTCATATGACTTATTAAGAATCCCTAACTTTAATGGTGTTTGGGCAAATAAATAGTTCCTTCAGAGGAAGACACTAAAATGCTAAGGAAAAATACTGCATTTCTCACGTTCACATTCAAATGAACCATAGTAGAATGATCCAAACCTCCCGAGTGCCTTTACAGATGAGCTCCTGCTTCTCTATTGAGCTCCGTCTGCAGGACTCAGTTAATTTTTATAAGCACTGTCTCATAGACATGATTTTGGCTTCGTGTGCCTTAGCAGAGGCTGTTTCAAAGGAAAATGGTGCAGAAACTTTCAATTAAATCATTCATTTCCGGACCAAATCTTACCTGTATCTCCGTCCTAGATTCCGATTTCAGTGGGAATTGACTGTGCTGAATAAGTGATTCCAGGTATTCATTGCATAACTTAATTTGAAGCTTGCTTACTTTTTTAAAATAAATTTTGAAAATATTATTCTCTGTCAAATACCCTACTTTTATAGGACACACATTTTAAGTTGTCAGATCTAAAACAAATGGCTGGGCGTGGGGTTTGGCTTACTGAAGGATCACCTTGAGAGCATGTATAGGAGCCTGGATTGGATTTTGTTCCCCTGCAGAAAATAACTAAAAGAAGTAATTGTTGTCCAAGAAGCCATACGAAACATCAGAGTGGTATTTCCTTCATAGCAAACATTTATAAGAATAGGACAGAGTAAGGGGCTGGAGAGATGGCTCAGCAGTTAAGAACACTGGTTGTTCTTGCAGAAAACCCAGGTTCAAATCCCAGCACCCACATGACAACTAACAACTGTCTGTAACTCCAGTCCCAGGGGATCCAACAGCCTCTTCTGTCCTCCGCGGGCATTGCATGACACAAGTGCACTTACCTACATACAGGCGATACATGCATACACCTAAAATTAAAATAATAAATAAATGTTTTTTAAAGTTTAAAAAAGGTACTTGTTCTTTATTTCACTAATACAATTAAACTCAAAAACAAAAAACAAACAAACAAACGAAAAAGAATAGGACAGAGTTACTTGGGTTGTGCAAGAGTCATAAGGATTATCATCGTTGAAAGCTGTCCTTGTTTCTCATGATTAAAAAATGGTATTTTTCATGTATGTCTTAGAATTTATTTACAGTGCAGGGTAACAGTTTCAGTAGAGAAGAACTGACATGGTAATTTAACTTGCATTTTCTTACTAATGACAGGGAATAAATAATGACAGGGTATAAATAAAATAAATGGCAAGTACTCAAAATAACCAACATTGAGCTTAGAAATATGAAACTTTTGAAAGCCAATTTTTTTCTCGTCATCTTATTTCTACTGTTTTGCTTGATATCCACGTTGCCTGCATTCCCCAGTGACCCGGCAGCTTATGGCAATGAGCAGAGCAGAAGTTATAGACAGCAAGAGAAAAGCAGTGACTTTCCAGTCAGTCTATATGCATAGAAGATGCATGGTGTTTACTGTAGGTGGAAAGACTATTCTCTTTTTGACTTCGTAAAAAATTATTTGGGGAGTGGGGAGTGTGAACCTACATGCCATAGCATATGTGTGGAAGTCAGAGGGCAACTTTTGAAAGTCAGTTCTCTCCCTCCACTGTGCATTACAGGAATTGTATCTAGCTGTCCAGGCTTATACAACAAGCATTTTTGCATGCTGAGCCAATTTGCTGGGCCCAGAGTCTTCATTTCTGAGGTGTTTCAACTTTTCCTGTTGCTCAGTGACATTTGTAATAATGCATTGTGTGTGACAGCACAGCTGATTCCCTGCAGAGCAGGAGTTTGTGGAGAATGCCTTGTGACTGCAGGGAAGTCCATGGGTAAAGCACTGAGGTTAAAAAGAAAAGATACGGAGCTGGAGAGATGGCTCGGTGTTTAAAAGCATGTGTTGCTCTTCTAGAAGACTCAAGCCTGTTCCCAGCACCCACACATTGATTAACATCAATTTCAGAGGATCTGATGCCCTCTTCTGGCCTCCAGAGGCACCAGGCACTCAACAAGGATACTTGGATACATGCAGGCACAAAACACTTGTACACATAAAATAAAAATAAAGCATTATTTTAAAGATTATTAAAAAGTGAGCCTTTCACTCTTTCTCTTTTTTCAATTCCTTTGATCACACAGAGCAAACTGACTGACTTAGAGACACTTGCACTGCTGATTGCTGCGTTAAGCCATGATTTGGATCACCGTGGTGTTAACAACTCGTACATACAGCGGTAAGACGTTTTCTCCAATAAAACAAGAGAATGCTTCTTCTAAACTACAGACCTCTATCCTTTTTAGTTAGCTAATATGGAGTCATGCACAGGTCCTGTGTGCCTCTGCCCAGGCCACCTGATGTTTCCATATGCGTGTAGAGCCTGCTGTGTCTGGAGCAGGTACCAGTGCAGCCTGTTGGCTGCTGCCCCCCCCCCCCCCCCCCCCAGCATGTCCCACACGTCGTCCACAGCCTGTCCCCCAGAAATAAGCAGTGGCCGTCTACCTTTGTTCAGGAGCCCTTCTGGTCCATGCCTCCACTCACCTGCTCACCACTGTACAGGTTTTTCTTAATATACACATTGGCGCCCCCCATGTTGAGTTCCTTTGTCCCTCCAGCCTTCAACTGGCATTGGCACAACTGGCATTGGCACCTTGCCTGGCTCCTCGAAGGAATTGCTGTGTACATTGTTCTCAGGTGGTCTTCTGGGTGCCTTTCAGAAAATGGTAATTTTATATGATTTGTCATGGAATGTGTTCTAATAAATCATTCTTCTTTCATGTGGCAAAAAATTGGTACAAAGATATCAGTTGGTCAAGTTTCATTACATACTTGGCTATATTTAAGGAAAATAAGAAAAAGATGAACGTCAAATACAGTTTAGGCCACAGTTCTGGCCTGAATTTCAAACAGTATTTATGTTGAGAATCTTATTTTATTCCATAATTACTGTATGTTTTGCTTTAGTTTATGTACACCCTGCTCAAAAGCTTCTTTAGAAAACTGTGAAGACTGCTCCAGAAGGAGTAGAATTTCACCCTAGGATAGAAAAGACAGTATCTGAAAAAGTGCTTAGCCTAGACCTCATTTATCAAATGCTTAGTAGACTGGGTTTTTTGGTCCTAATGGAGGTTATATCACACAGTGTTGGAGAACTTGGGTTGGGTAGTCAGGGTCCAGCTCTATGCGAGTCCCCATGCAGCTTTGGGCAAGAGAACTAATTTCTCTATACCTTAATTTTCTTTAAAATGGAGATAATAAGGACTAGAGAGATGGTTCAGCTGTTAAGAGCACCAGCTGCTCTTGCAAAAGACCCAGGTTTGGTTCCCAGCACCCGTACAGTGGTTAACAACCATTCTTAACTCCAGTTCCAGGTGATCTTCTGGCCTCCACAGGAATTGCATGCACTGGTATACTTAAATGCATACAAAACACTCATACACATAAATTTTATTAAATTAAAAATTAAAAACAAAATAAAATGGAGATAATAGCATACACACATCACATGTTTTCAGGGAACACAAGCATCATTACCAAGTAGAAACTTTGGTGTACATTATAGTAAATCCTAGCAGCAGTTACAAAAGATAGAGTAGTCTGTGACAGACAGATCTTGAGAGTGAGATTCTAACTACTGGGACAAGAATTTCATATTTCCTTAAGGGCCACACTTAAGTGACATTTTGTGATGACTGATAAAAGTGATACTAACTTTTCATCAAATTGTAAGTCATTGTTGCAATTTTATTTTTTATAGCAATTTTGTTGAAAAAGTATACTTTTTATTTATTTTTTTGTTTTTGTTTTTTGAGACAGGATAAGATCTCTTACTACTGACAGTTTTTTATAGGTACAATTATTTGCTTAACAGATCTCTGAAGGAAAGTCCAGATGTGTGCTATCTCAAAGGCATTTGAGAAAGTGCTCTAATCACAGCCCCTTTATCTAAATAAACAGAAAATTTCATGTAAGATGAATCATACTGATGCACAACCATGTCTTGTGCTGCCTTTGTTGGGAAAAGAGCAAAACTCTTGCCTGTCACAGACTGGCTGTTTCCTCTTGAAAACCTAAATATTTGGAGAGCTCACTGGGTGACATGTCCTTTGTCTCTGTGCCTTCTATTACTGTAATCCAGAGCCTCACAGAGACAGTACTTATGAAAGGGAGCAGTGACAGGAAAAGGTCCACTCTGTGTTCAAACCACGTCAAGTGGCTATATCCCCTGAACATCATGTTATTAGTATGTGGACTAATATTGTAGAAATTGCCTGAGATGCTGTGTTGCTCCGAGTAAGTGAAGGAAAAGTTAAAAAAAAAAAAAAAAAGCAACTATTTTTTATTTGTTTATTTAAAAATAATTACCCAGAAAAACATCTGGAGAAACGTCATCTCCTTTAAAAAAAATCCTGGGAAAAAATGTCATAGATTGTAAAATCTTACTTTCACATACCACAAAGACGACCTCGACCACTTAACTCTTTTTAAAGTTAAAACAGTTCAGAGACTTTTATTTCCTCTTACATCTCTGTAGTTTGAATAAAAGGAAACAAGATTTTTTCTTTCCTCATTTGTACATGAGTGGTGCTTAAAGCAGACTTTCTTGACAAGAGGACACTGGAGGCCATGGACACACAGGAAACATCCCCACAGAAAGTGCTGTCTTCTAAAAGGGCATCCAGATCTCACCAGGTGTTCAACAAGAAATCGAAAAAATAAATAAATAAACAAAGGTAAAAAAAATAAAAGCAATAAGTCAAAAAGAAAAAAGGTGTTCATAGGGTGGCAAAGCCAGACTGAAAGTCTCCTTATTCATCAGGTGACTTTTAAGACAGTTACTTTGAGGGACTGGAGAGATGGCTCAGTGGTTAAGAGCAGTGACTGCTCTTGCAGAGGACTGGAGTTCAAAGCTCAGTACCCACGTGGCAGTTGACAACTGTCCATAATTCTACTTCCAGGGAATCTGATGCTCTCTTCTGTCCTCCACAGGCATTACATGACACAGGTGCACTTAACATACATGCAGGCAGTACACTTGTACACATAAAAAACAAGTGTAAAAGTTTTTTTAAAAAAGAAAAGTATTTTGAGATAAGCTGTCATTGACTAGGAGCTGTGCCTGAGCCCCTACTGGATTTCTTCTTCCTTCTTTCATCAGGAAGACTGCCATCATAAGCACATCTTGCTGTTTGCTGTCTTGTGGTGTGTTTAAATTCACCGCTTCCATTTACTCTTCCCACGTGAAAGGAAAAGAGAAGAGTGATCTCAGATAGGTGGTGAATCGTTGTTTTGAAAATAAACAGTGGTGTATGCTGTGGTTGTAATTCCATTGGAAGAGTGCTTGCCTACCATGCCTGGAGCCCTGGGTTTGGGCCCAACACTGCATAAACCACGGTAGTAAACTCAGGAGGTAGAGGAAGAAGGATCTGAAGTTTAAGGTCATCCTCAGCTATTCAGTGAGTTCAAGGCCAGCCTGGGCTGCATGAGATTCTCTCTCAAAAAGTAAAATAAGTGGTCAGAACACATGGCTGAAACATATTCACTAGACAAAGTAGTTGTAACACTTAGGTTGCATAGAGAAACTTTCTGCATTAGGCCTGTAGTCAAAATAATAAGACTTATAGGTATATTTGTGTGATTAGATTTAAGGTCAATGATTATAAAATAATTCAGTGAAGTTATACTACGTGTTAAGCTTCTGCATAATGAACAATTGCTAGTTTTGCCATGCAGAAAGAAAGCCAATGATACGTACAGTGTGGTTTTCTTTCTGTCACTCCATAGTGTCTTGAAATGATTGTCAGTACAAGAAAGTATCTAGTGAGTCCTGAGTTGTCTAAGAAAGTAGACTTCAAGTGTCCAGCAGAGGAGGAGATTGGTCAAGAATGGTATAGTCCATCTCCACTATACGTGGAGAAAATGAGACTTAAACTGGATCCTGCAAGTTGGATGGATTTGGAGAAGAGAAAGGACAAAGCTGTTCTAGGAGGACCATGAGGTGGGCATTTCATGAACAGTAGTGATAGACCAGCAAGAGAAGTCACAGGACTCCTTCAAGGAGGGTTTACAACTAAGAAGTGTATGATAAACTTGATAAAGTAAAAAGGAACTGTTGCCACGGGCAATAAAAACTTGTTTTTTTTAGTGTCCAAAAAAATGAGCTCTATAGTAAGCAGGTAGAAGTGAGAGCCACAGGGCCAATTAGAAAATGGTTAAAACAAGCCTGGTATAAACTGGAAATCACACTGAGTAAAGGGAAAAGAGGCTAAAGGGAAAATGCTAATTTAACATAGAGTAACTAGTGCACAAAGATGGGGAAAAGGCAAGACTTCTAGTCTGAAATGTTTGAACGGCGGTGCTGTAGGAGCACGGAGAAGCTGTGAGGTTAGGTGGGTGTGTTGGGAGGGAGGTGGGGAATGTGATAGGTAGAGAATGTGGGGCAGCAAAAAGAAAGTAGAAGAAGGAGGAGGGGGAGGAGAGAGAAAGTAAAGAAGATACCGGAATTATAGATGAGACTTCACAAGGAAGAAGAGCATTCCAGGACAGAGACAGGCTTGAGCAATGAAAGAACACAGGAAAACATGAGCATTTTAGACAACGTTGTGTGACAAGAGGGTAGCATACATGTTGGGGAGCTCTGGAGGTGAGGGGGGAATCCTATGGAGATGTGTGTGGTGAGACTGTTGGGATGTCATTCACAGGCCTGGGGAGAAGTGGAGAGCCACCAGAGGAGTGGCAGCATGGGAGCTGGGCGGTGACAGCATGTGGTGATGACCTGGAGATGTGAGCAGCTCTGTTTGGACCTGCCCCCTTCCCTTGTCAGACAAGCAGCAAGATGGCCCCAGAGCTAAAACAGGCTCAGAGGACAGTGTCTCAACAGCCACAGGATGAGTCTGAAGATTCACTGGGAGTCAGAGCCAGCAGCTTGAGAATCAGATCATCAGTCAAAGTGGCTGGTGAAGGATGGGCGCGGGAGGGGGAGGGGGAGGAGGAGAAGAAAGATAATCAGATTAGTTTTTTCAAAATTAGAGATAATAAAATCAGGGAGAAAATTTCTTGACCACAGTTAGTCCTGTGTGTTTGCCTGGGAGGAACTCTCACTGTGCATGGTCTGTGCTCTCGATGGAAGAATGAGAAGGAGAGGCTATCTCACAGGGGTTGACAAGAGTTAAAGGAATGTAAATACAGGGGAATGCTTGGAACTGAACCTGGTACACAGCAGTACCAGGCTTTAGTCATTTCCTAGAGGCACGCTGTCCATAGCACACAGTGCAGATCTCCTTCATGTGTGGCAGATGGAGTGAGGGGCACAGTCACTGCAGCAGAGCACCTAGTGCCCACTGAACAGAGAGAACGACGTCAGGGATTGATGTGACCGGGGCCTATGGACGATGTCAGGGAAGTCAAAGAACTGTGAGGTCAGAAAGTCTGATGTGGTGTCAGCTTGAATCCCTGTCATCCTTATACCTGCCAAGAACACAAAGAAGAACCAACCCCATGGATGGACAAAGGGAGGTGATGAAGTAAAGAACTATCGGGCTAAAGCAGTGGAGATTTGAACCCACGGTCCTAAAGGTGAATGCCGGCAGGCAGAGTCAAGGACACTGTTGGCGTTGGTGAAAAGAGGAAGGCTGGGGTAGCAGGGCTGGTTTCTCTCAGGGCACTGATGCTCAATCAGTTTCTAAGGCTCTCTCTTTCTGGAATATTGGTCTAATCTCTGAGCAGGCATCCTGCTTCCACTGTCTGGGACAGATCAAGAAAACAAGAAAGTGCAGATGCCAGTCTATTAATGCTCACTGACATCAGCGTGGGAATAAAATTCCATAGCAGTAGTGATTTAGAGATGCCCCTATCGTGTGGCCTCAAATAGAGGCAACATAGTCTTATGTTTTAAAGAGTCAGAAGCAGCAGGATATTGAATACATTGGTTTCCATGAATTTTTTTTGTAAACAGGAAATCCAAGGCATTTGTCACCCTTCTCTTGATTCATAAATTTGTATTTTTAGAATGAAGTACAGACAAACGAATTTGGCATTTGTCTCTTCTGCAAGCCAAGAATTTTCTCTAATGCAAAGCAGCCCATTCGGCCTCATCTAAAAATGTGAATTACATTTGCAGTTCTAGCTGGTTTGTGTTATATCTGCCTAGCTGCGTTTCCTCATCCAGCTCCTAACTAGGTCAGTGAATAGACACCATGCGTGTAGCCCTGGGGTGCCGTGGAGACTGAGTGAGGCAATGAAGAGGATGTGCTCGAATCCTGGCTCTGTTGTCTGTATCAGCATTGAGCAAGTGAGATAACGCCTCTGAATCTAAAAAGCACATACAGAAACGTCCATTTTAAAGAACTCTCAGCAAGGCTTCTCTGAAGCTGTAGTTTGAGATAAAAGTTGGGGTACTCATAGCTTACTGGTACTCATAGCTCCCCAGGGAGCCGGAAAGCAGACTTAAGCAAAGCAGGGAGGGGGGGAGGCGTTTGGTATCCAGGTATTGTCCATATGAGCAGCTGGTGATCAATCCTGCCATAGGTACTTATGAGGAATCTTACGGAAGAAAACTCAGAACTGCTCATATAAGGCAGAAAGCAGTGACCTGTGAATCCCTGCACACAGTCAGTGGTGGCCCCCAAGCCTTAACTTGTCCATTGTGTAGTGAGTGCAGTTCATTCCCATGGACACCAGCTCTGGGGGTCAATCAGCCTCGAGGCAAATGAGAGTTACACAGGATGGGCCCAGACAGGGTAGAGTGGCTTCTGATTGGCACCTGTGTCAAGTTCACTAAAGTATGAATGAAACTGGACACAATGTCAGTGGCTGAAGTAAGGGGTGTGTGAGGATTCTGAGTCTGGGCCTTAAACCATAAGATCTGATAAACTAGGAGGCACAGTCCTGGCCATGTTACATGCTCTCCTTAAAAGGAGATTGTCATTAAGAAAATGAATGTCACCAAATTCAAGAGGTCTATGGTCTAATGAAGTAAAAGATTAGTAAGTAGCTGACACCTGGCAGAATAAATGTGATGCTAATACTTTGTTCGCTTTTAGTTATTTGTGTTTTGAATTTATGTATTTTGTTCGATTGGTCAGTTGATAGGTTTTAGGACAGCTTCCCATCTTGTAGTCCAAGCTGGCCTCAGATTAGAGCTCCTCCTGCCTCAATTTCCCTAGTATATCACCATGCCACCAGGTTCTTGAACTTCTTACATATTTGAAAATAACAGATACCTAAAATATTTTCCTTTTATTCAAGCTGAAACGAATGATGGGAGTATCCTTGTTCCAGTCAAGTTGACTTTAACAGAGCTGAGTGATGAGAAAATAGAGACTAGGGCATCCAAGACAAGATTCAAAGGGAGATCATTGACCCTCTCAGTCCTGGCCACTGTTCTGATTGTAGGTGACCACTGACCCTCTGTTCTCCTTAGAGGCCATCTCATTCCCAGCGCCTCTTTGCTCTACCCCCAGGACAGCTCCCGGCTAACCTCCTGTGGCTGCCTCCACTTCAGTTGAGGCTCTCTACTTAAGTGTGCCAGTGATGTCCTAGCTCAGGTAGTCCATCCCTCACAAGACTCTTTCACAGATCCCCTCATGCTATCCTGCTCATGGCCTATTCATTTTCTGATGTCGAGCACAGCAGCCAATCCATAGTACAGATCATTGACTAGGGCTGGAATGAGGAAGGCAAGCGGTCAGGAGTCACCTTGGGAACCATTCTGTCAGTAACCACACTAAGTCAGCAAGGCTGAGACAGCGGGAACTGGGGAGGCTCCGCATTCTCCATCTGCAGCTTTCTGTCTGCTTCCTTCGAGCACTCACTGTTTTGTTACTACTCCTTTAGCCTTGAATTTGTCTCTCTGGACAAATGAAATGCAAAGCAGTATAGTAGCAGAGAACCGGCAACCCATTTGTATTATCTAAAGCTTTTGTGGTGCTTAGCAATTCCTAAGCCCCATTCCCATAAATTTTAGGAACAAAGCGTCGCACGATTTTTTTCTTTCTTTTGAAGAAGGAATAGTGAAAAGTTGTTGATTTTTCACATGTGAAGGGTCATGAGAAATGAAGTGGAGGGCCTTTTCTGCCATGCTTTACAACTTGATTTGTGACTGTCCCACACATACAGTAAACAGTACACTGCCCTCCCCGTCGCCTTACTCAGCAGGAAGTATCTGCTGCTTCAAGTTCGTTTAGAGAGCCTGCTGGCTGTCCAGTACCTTTCAGCCTTGGAATTCTCCTTCTTGTCTCCCCTCTCTCCTCTCCCTCCCCTCCTACTTCCCAAGGCTGTGCAGCACTGCCCCCCTTTGCCTGTTCATCATTCATACCCAGTTAATCCCATCTCACCTGGTTCTTTCCTTGTACATAGGCACACATGAGCAAACTGACCTCAGCCTGAGCATTATTTCAAAGGAAAAGCCTATATGAATTTGAGATTTTAAGTCAATTGTAATTTTGAAATAAAAAGTAGTATTGTAATACTACTTAGGAATTGAATAGTAGTGCCTGTCTTGGCCTAGGACGAGTGTGCCTCTGTCCAGCTACTTCTGTCTCCTCTTTTATTCGATAATTTTTATTTCTTTGAATTTTATGTGTATCAGTGTTTTGCCTACATGTATGTAAGTATACCTATACCATGCAATGCCTGCAGAGGCCAGAAGAGGCTGTTGGAGCCCCTGGAACTGGAGTTGCCTATGACTGTTAGCCAGCACGTGGATGCTGAGAACTGAACCCAGGTCCTCTAGAAGAGAAGACAGTGCTCTTAACTGTTGAGCCCTCTCTCCAGCTCACTTTTATTCACTATTAAAACCCATGAAACTGTGCTTACTGTGAACCAGTGGAATCGTGTGAAAACAATTTACGTCTGTTTTTGTTTCTCACAGATTACCTCATTCTCCCCAGCAGGAGAAAAAAATGTTAGTTTGGTTAATTTTGTGAGATCATTTGAGTTAATAATAGTAATGATTTGATAAAGTGACGTGCTTGGGAAACTGATTTTTTTTTTAAACACAATCTCTCAGAAGTGAACACCCACTTGCCCAGCTCTACTGCCACTCCATCATGGAACACCACCACTTTGACCAGTGTTTGATGATTCTGAATAGCCCAGTAAGTATCACATTTGTTGTTGTGGCTTTTAAAAGAGAGCTTTATAAATTCAGTTTTATTTTTAGGCTTTGGACTTACTCCCAGCATCATAAATTCTTGAACATACTCTATTCCTTTTTGGGTAAGGAAGGAGCAGCCAAAATGTTTGACATGGGTAGCCTCACTTCTCTAGACAATAGAACTATCCAATGCCCCGCAATGAGGGCAGCTCAAATACTGAACTCTGTTGGGTTTCTCCAAACTAGAAACAAAACTGGCATTTTATGCCTCTTGATTAATTTTTCTTTTAATCAAACAAAGTGGTTTAGACAGCCCAGTATTTGTCCCCCCTTTGTTGGCTGTGCTCGGACTGAACCTAGGGCCTTGTACATGCCCCACCAAGCTATACTCCCAACCCTCTATGTTATGGAAGCTTCTAATTGCCCACAAACTGTTTTGTTAAGAAATAAGAAAGCTATTCAGTGACTTGGATAAGTGTAAGAAAACATAAGGTACAGTTTGCTGAGTAAACACACTTTTATGTTAAGGAAATGGCATTAAAGTAATATGAGTCAGAAAATTAACAGTGATTGTTCATCTAGTGGAATAATGTTTTTCACTTTTGGATTATTAATTTGTGACATTATTTGTTGCCTGCCTGTTAACTTTATGATAGGAAAAAAAATATGAGTTTTGACTATTACATTGAACAATCATAATACGTAGTATATAATCCTAAGCAGTTTATCATCAAGTCTTTAAGCTTTCTGGGATTGGGGCTACTTCTCTGAACCCTATAAGAAGACTCAGGGAGTCCCGGTTTGCTCAGTTACTAGGTCCAACTATATAATATGCAGTTCTCATTTCCCACACCAAAATGGCCACAGGCTAATGGTCCAAATTGTAAAGGTTTCAGGTTCTGCCCTTACTGCCCTGTCCGCATCTCTCATTTCTTACCATGTGTTTCTTCTAACTCCTTCCTCACTCCCAAGCCTCCATGTAGTTTCCTATCCCTCCAGGAACAGGCTGGGAATGCAGAATAGACAAGAAGATGAACCTGGCCATTCCTGGCGCACTAACTCTGTTCAGTGCCTCACTTTTTGTGCCCAGCAGGTGCTGATGATTTCATGATCACTTCAGAGAACCCTCATTGTAGGGATATCCCGCAATAGCCACAGGATGGCCAGGCAACCTGGTCCTGCCTTTTAGAGTTCCCAGACAGGAAGTGGACACAAGTCCACTGTAGTCCAATTTCCCCCACTAAGCATGGGAGACAATACAGAGATATCCAGGCCCCTCTCCTACTTCAAGTAAAGGAAACTCTTACCTCTCCCATAATAACCTTAGTATGATTTAAAAGTTAAGAGTTATACAGTCTGGGATGCAGCTCAGAGGTAGGGTGTGTATTGCCTGTGTAAGGCCCTAGGTTGGACCAAAAAAAAAAAAAAAGTTACACACCTGTTTTGCCAGCGTCTGTAGAAAGTTTACATGAGGCCTAATACGGATTATTTCCTGTAACGTGACTGATTAGTGTGAATTAGTTTATATGGGATTGGTATACTTTAGAAATTGAATCATTTTATATTTGCATTGTCTGGGGAGAATTGTGGCAGTTATTAAATTCTGACCTTCAGCAAGAGCTCCTACACATGCAGCCCTTTCCATTTGAAGCGTGACAGATGGTCTCTTAAGTCCTCAGCTTGGGGCTATGGCTCTTGGTGCTACTCTTCCTTCAGGGCCCACTTTTAGAGCAGACCCTCCCATCTCACTGATCAAGTCCCATCCACACTGTCACAGGCCCCACAGTCCAGCATTTCCTTCTGATTGTTCTGTGTGTCTTCTGCATCCTCAGAGAATGCGACCAGGACTGCCAGCTGAGCTAAGTTGCCTCCAGAGGGACCAGCTTTGTGCCCTGGTTTCAAAGTGGCATAGGTTTTGAGGGATCTACCCAAACAGTATTTTTCTCATAACACACGTTATTTTTAGTGTGCAGTTTTCCAAAACCCAGACCGTAGAAATGTATATGTGTTAGAGGCGAAACATCTGTGCTTTCCTTGGAAATATGTGTTAGCTAAAGCTTTTTTTGTAAGTAGGGGAGGAAGTTGATTTTTGTTTTGTTTTGTTTTGTTCTGTTTTGTTTTGAGGCATGGTTTCACATAGCCCAAGCTGGCTTCCTACTCATTGTGTAGCAGAGACTGATCTTAACTTCCTACTCCTACCTCGACTTCCCAAGTGCAGGGATTACAGGAGTGCTATCACACCCTGCTTAAAAATTTCATTTTAATATCTTATTTCAAATTCAGTTTCAAAGCAAATAAAATGCCAACCTTTTAAAAAAGTGTATTTAGGGGCTGGAGAGATGACTCAGCATTAAGAGCACTGGCTGCTCTTGCAGAGAACCCAGGTTCTTTTCCCAGCACCCAACTCACAACTGGTGGCTCACAACCGTCAGTAACTCCAGTTCCAGGGGATCTGACACCCTCTTCTGACCTCCACAGGCATTGCACGACACATACATGCAGACAATACACTCATACACATAAAATTAAAAAATAAATATTTTTAAAGTGTATTTAGCTTTTTCCCTGTCATTCTTTGCTAGATAATGTAAATTCTTATACAGTATGTTACTAGTTACCAGAACATACAAGGAATCTGGTTGTACATATTGCTGACTTGTCTTTTTTTTTTAATTTTATTTATTTTTATTTTATATGTATGTGTGTATTGCCTGCATGTAGATAAGTGCACCCATGCCATGCAATGCCCACAGAAATCAGAAGAGGCTGTCGGATCCCCTGGGACTGGAGTTAGAGACAGTTGTTAGCTTCCATGTGGGTGCTGGGATGCGAACCCGGGTCTTCTCCAAGAACAACCAGTGTTCTTGACCGCTGAGCCATCTCTCCAGCCCCACTTACTTAAATCTTAAGATTTGTCAGTGTCTTCTATCTTTGTAAGCACAGTTGTACCCTAAAAATTATAGATTCTCCTTTTCCATAGGGAAACTAAGTCTGTAATACCAAAAGACATTTTATTTTCTCCTGAAACTGTTTTATCTTAACATAAATAAAAGAATCCAAAGTTTTCTGCACAGTTTTGTTTGGCCCCAAACCTGACATGGTTAAATGTTTCAGAATAATGGTTATGGCTGTAACTGTTTTTTTGTCATTAATTTGATTCCTGCTGCAGTTTCAGCCCTTTCATTACCCACTGACCACTGTCTCTGACACAAGCCTAGCACACTGGCAGTTCCTGACTTCGTTCTTTGCCTCCAGATCTCATTTCTGAGCCTCTGAGTACTTTCTTGGCTCTGAGATATAAGAGGCACATATGATTCACTTTACACGTGTTTTGAGTGCATTTGGAGTGACTGAGCTGTATGTTTTGTTTAGTTCAAGATCAAAGAGCCACTCTTCTTAAAATTATAGACAAGAAATAGAAAATGGTTATGTAGCAAAAGCCTTCAATGATCTACACATGGGTCACCCCCTTTTAAGCTTTCCTTGTGGACAGTTGAGCCCATGCTCAACTACACCGCAGACCAGGAAGCACCGTGGCTCAGGCCCGCTGCCCATTGGTATTATCATGTCTCTAGGGAACACACATGGCTCTCGAATTTGGTTAAGTTCTATAAATGCACAGCAGAAATGTTGCCAGGCTTGTTACAAAAGCCACATAGAAGAAATGTCTTTTTACTAATAATTATTTTAAAGTTTCACAACTCCATTCTTTACATCTATTAATAGAATTTTGAGTTTTCAAAGCTTCATTTTCCGTTGTGTTGTAGCAATCTACCCAAAGGAAAAAGACATACTAATTTAGATTTTAGATCTAGACTAAGTCTCAAGGAAACTAAGAGTTGGAAGCACACGTACAGAGGCAGGGATAACATTATGGGGCTGTTTTTCATCTTACATGACAGGGTGGTAAGGTGAGAATGTACAGGGAAAATATTACTTCGCAGTATTTACTTTAAATAAGCAGGCTCAGAATACTAGGTATGTGTTTAAGTCATAAACAGTATCTTCAGAGTTTGTTCTTGTCAGAAGCTTCTCTGGGTGGAGTACTAACACCATTTTTCCATTTTTATAAAGGGCAACCAGATTCTCAGCGGCCTCTCCATTGAAGAATATAAGGCCACATTGAAAATGATCAAGCAAGCAATTTTAGCTACAGACCTAGCACTGTTCATTAAGTAAGTTTTAAGAAGTAATACCTTTCAAAATAGATCTTGACACCATTTTTATATTATCCACACCGGGAAATCTTGGTGGGTGATTTTTTTTTTTTTTTTTTTTTTTTTTTTTTTTTGAACAGGGTCCCCCT